AGGGGCTTGAGCTGATGACATCAGGTAAATTCTAGAACTCTAATGAGGAGGTTTAGTCCTGCTTGGGGACTTACCTCATCTGGAAAAGTAGGAGTTGATATGTGGATTCCCAGAACTAATAGGGGTACAATTAGAATCGGAAAGGGGAAAAAAATCCAGAAACAGTAAAACTTAAAATTCAGCTCAAAAGAAGGAACATGGGAAGAAAAAACATTTTCCCAGGTCATGATCTGTCATATAGGATACCTGAGTGTCACTGGGGCTGACACTGACAAGACCTTCGGAGCTAAGGCAGAGAAGGCAGAGATGGTGTGCCAGGGCAGGGTGGAGATTCCAGGGGGAAGAATAGAGCCTGGCCAGTCCTGAGAGAAATCAACCATTTAGGGGCAGGGGACAGACTCAATGCGGTGATTCTGAGCCTCCCTGCCACACCAAGGCAGCTGGCTTTTGGAGGGTGGTTTCCACTATACCTCAGTCGGCTGGGACTGGTAGTGGTCTCAGAAGAGCTGAGACCAACCTATAGGTGGCAGTGGTGATGCCAATACAGGCTGGCCAGACCACTCAGCTTGAAATGCCAACTGACTCTCTAGTATCATTGGGCAAAATAGAAACTCCCATTTGGTGTTTAAAAAGTTGCTTCTACCTGCTGTGATCTGGGCCAGTGCTAGGATCAACATGGCAGAAGGGGCTAGCCCAGGAATGAAAGCAGAGACCAAATGTTTTTGTCTGGCATGTAATAGATACTTACTTAATGCTTGATTTAGAAAGGCAATTTAGAGAACCAGAGATGATTACTTTCCTATATGTGTTGTTTCCCCCTATTAGCCTATGAACTTGAAAGCAGAACTGTCTTTCCTATTTGTTTCTCTAGCCCTTAGGACAGTGCACATAAGCACTTAATGTATGCTTCATTCATTCATCACAAAGCCTAGAGACCATCTCTAACCTGCCCTCCTTCTGGATTAGCCCCAAAATCCAGAGCTGGGACCCTGAACACACATCCTTCTCTCTATCTTGGGAGCCCCCCACCCATAATTAACAGTCATCCCATATCCTCCTGTAGGCTTTTTTTTTTTTGTGAGACAATTAGGGTTAAGTGACTTGCCCAGGGTCACACAGCTAGTAAGTGTCAAGTGTCTGGTCTGAGACCTGATTTGAGCTAAGGTCCTCCTGATTCCAGGGCCGGTGCTCTATCCACTGCGCCACCTAGCTGCCCTTAAAGATTTTTTTTTTTTGTGATTCTATAGGCTTAACAGCAGTACAGCTGCCAATGCAGGGTGCTTATACTACAGCAGCAACCCAAGAGTAACCTGGACCATGTACCTGTGTCACATGTGAATTTTCTCATCCAGAGTATTTCGATTCTTTGGAAGCCATAGGTGCTCAGTGTTTCCCCTCTTCTTTTTCCTGCTCTCTAGGTGCCAGAGAAATGCAGAAATGTAGGTTGGTTGGGGAGTCAAATTGCTCAGACATAAAGGGATGACTAGAGGGTGTAGAGAATCATCAGAAGCACAGAACTTTTATTTGGGGATCAACTGGGAAGCGAAGGCTGTCTCCCCAAGAGTGGGGCTGGGGAGTCACTCCCACCTCACGCTGAGACATTTCCCTCATGTGCCTTTCTGCCTTTGGGACTGGAAGGGTTCTAGAAAGGCTTCTAAAAATGGCCCCTGGGTACCCGTTTGCTGGGTGAAAGTGGCATCGGAACATAGAGCACCTCTCATGGAGAAGCTGAGGTTTCAGACCTTCCTAGGAGAGGCTAGGCTCAGCCGCTTGGGGGGGGGGGGGATATTTTTTTACTTTGGCTTGTATTCTGTGAGTGCTAAGGAATAACGTGAGTGTGTCATTCTTTTGGGTCATGTAAAGTTGGGAAAGAAGGAGGCATCCCACAAGGTGGGGGAGAGGAGGGATTTCAAGAAATCATGGCATTTGGGGGAAGTTTTATACCCTGGGCAGAGAAGTGAGCTAAAGGGAAACTTTAGGGAGAACTAAAGGGAAAGCTTGGAGTCGGGTAACCCCAGGTAACGCAGTTCACACCTGCAAAAAGGGACTGAGATGCAGCTTAGGGTTGGAGCGCCACCTGGTGGTTGATGCCGAGATATTGCCCTTCAAGTTGGTAGTTCCAGCCGCGTGTGTGTACGTGTGCATACACTCATTTGTGTACACATGGTTTCCCTACAGTATAATGTAAGATCCTTGAGGGCAGGGAATGTCTCACTTGTATTTGTTTCCCCGGGGCCAAGAACACAGCAGGTACTTGATAAATGCTTGTTGAATTGAATCCCTACTTTACATATGAGGAAACTGAGGCACATTACTTTTTGGGGTCACACACGTAGTGATTATCTGAGATGGGATTTGAAGCTATGACTTTGTCAACAACAACAAACATTTATTTTTAATTTTATTTCATTTAGGCTAGATTTAAACTCAGGTCCTCCTGACTTCAGGGCCGGTGCTGTATGAACTGCACCCACCTAGCTGCCCCCAAAACAAACATTTATTAAGCACCTACTATGTACCAGGCCCTGTGCTAAGCGCTGGGGATACAAAGAAAGGAGAGGGGCAGTCTGCCGTCAAGGAGCTCACGGCCTAATGGGGGGCAGCATGCTAACAACTATGTCTGAACAAGCCACAGACAGGATAAACAAGGACATAAGCAATAGAGGGAATCCTTCCTGTATAAGGAGGGATTTGAGCTGGGACCTGAAGGAAGCCAGGAAGCCAGAAGGCAGAGATGAGGAGGGAAGGCATGCCGGGCAGGGGCACAGCCAGAGAAGATGACTGGAGTAAGGAGTTGCAACGTTGTGTGGGAGGAATAACACCAGAGCCGCCTTGTGCCTGGGCCTCTCCATCTGTCTCACTCATCCCAGTCTGTCTCTGATCAGCCATTTGTATGTGGTTCCCACCCCCTCCCCCCCATTAAACTGAGCACTTGGGTTCTCTGGGCCACACAGGAGGTGCTTAATAAATGCCTGTTGTCTTAAATGGGACACTGTCCCTGGTGCCATCCCAACGGCTGAGCCTGATCCTGACACCTCCTCTCCCTGACTCCCTACCCCCAGAGCCTGGGGGCCGAGGTTCTCGAATTCATTCACCAAGGATAATGAAACCTTACGGTTAGAGTTGGGAAGGTCCTGAGTCTCCAAGTCAGGAGAGGCATCACCGGTTCTTTTTGACCCCTCCTCGATCCCTCTATCACCACCCTGTGCTTGAAGGCCTCCAGAGAGGAGGGGCTCCCCACTTTCAGGAGAACCTGTTCCTCATAGGCCCATCTTGGCTTTGCCCTTTTAGGCAGCTGGGTTTCCACCTCCTCCCACATCTCTACCCCCTGGAACTGGGGCTCACCAAATGAGCTTCCCATTTCGTGTAGAGACTAGACTTGGTCGGCTGGAGGCCAGGACTCCGGGGCCCCGGTGACCCGGCAGCCGCAGGCTTGAGCTCAGCCCCTCTAGAATTTCATCTTACTGTGTTTAGCTCACTGTGCTAGGCTGTCATTCACTGTGCTGGCCATCCCTCCCAGCTCTGGGGCATCTGCACATCTGGTAAGTGAGCATGAAACCTATGCTTTTATCCACGCCACTGACCATGTTAAAAGAACCAAGGTCACACACATCCCCGGGGCACTCCATGAGGCTTGCTGCCAAACCAGCACCGATTTCAGAAGACGAATGACCCTGTGGGCCCAAACATTCATCTGCTTCCAAGCCTATCCAACTGGCCTTTCTGCCCATTAGTGCATATTCTCTGGGTCCCCGTCATCTCTCTCCAAAATCACTGTTCGCAGATGAGGAAAGACACTTGGGAAGTTCTGACTGTGTCCGAGTTCTGACTTGGGTCTTCCCAAGAAGAGCTGGGATTTTTCCTCAGAGCCTTCTCGGTGCAGGGAGCTGGGCTGCAGAGTTGGTTTCTGGCCCTGAGAGGGGCACGTGGGAGTGTGCGAAACTCTTAGAGCTAAGTGCAATCCAGGAGTTCCCAGTAGGGGTCTGAGGAGATGCAGACAGGCTCCCAGGCTTCCCTCTCCCCCCAGGATTTTCAGGGCTGGGGGTGGACCACGTACTGGGCTAACTCCCCTCGTCCGTGTGGAGGACGTGGAGACACTAGTGGGTCACTGAGGTGGGCAGCCGGTGGGGTGAGTCTTGCTCTGTCCTGTTACATGGGCATGGCTAACTAGAGGATAGCTACAGGAAAGAAGAGTCGGGAGCCTCGTGTGTATGAAACCCGATTATTCAAATTTATTAACATCCAGAATTATGTAATGACGCTGCAGTCTCATAACAAGTAGAAAACAGACGCGTGGCGTACAGCGCGCACCCACCCAACAGCACGACACCCACAAGGCAGAAATGAACATTGGTCTCCTCCGACAGAGTGACCCTGAGTGCCGGGGTCGAGGGTGGGGCTCTGCCCACCCCCTCCACTGGCCGGGCAGGCCCAGGGTGCTCCCCTGAGTGAGGAGGAGGAGGGGAAGGGGGATGCGACTAGGTACACCGAGTCCAGTAGTCTGGCCACATTGGTTCATGAGGACACCCTGAAATTGAACATTGGCTGTGATGATGAATTCCTACAGAACAGCTACAGGTGGGTGCAGGACGCCGGGGTCTCTGAGACGCTGCCTTGTCCTGTGTGGCGAAAGTGTGCTTCCCCAGGCAACCCTGGGGCGCTGCCCAGCGTGGGGGCTGGGCTCCGGATTGTGCTCTTCCCTGTATGTTTGGGACACTCTCTGAGTGCCCTGCCCAGGCCCCGCCCCACTGCCCGCCGAGCACAGGGCAGCAGAAGGCAGCGAGAGGAGGAGGTGCCCCAGCTCCTGCCCTAGCCGCCTCTGGCTGCTGTGAGGGAGGAATGGTATTTTTAATCTCTGCAAACACGGGGGTGATGGGAAACGCCCTCTCGGGGTCTCCCCAGATGCTTCATCAGTACCAGGCTGTAATTTTTAAACACGCATTGGAATAGATGATTGGAGCTATTTCCCTTCTCCCCCAGGTCCCCCTCCTGCCCCCCCCTCCCCCCAACAGCTGTGGCACCTAAAAAAAGGCCTTTAAGGAAAACCAAAGAGAAAACAGAATAGAATTAGTGGTGGTTCTCCCGGAGTGGTAGCAGCCCCTGCCTGCCCGCCCCCAGCGGGCCCTGGGTATGGGGTTGCTCCCCGGAGCGGGTGACTCCCCAGGAGGAAAGGCATCTTCTGTTTATTTGTATCAATAAGAGTAAACACAAAGAAAAGGATCAGAGAGTGAGAAAGTCCCCAGCCAAGAACAGAGTGTGGACCCTTTCACCGTCCACGAAGAAGGGAAGTCAAAAGAGGTTACAAAACCCACCCAGCTACCCCTACTGAACTGAGTACAAAAAGGTGGCTCCGCCCGCCCGCCCAGGGAGAAGCAGCATGAGGAACGTGGGGGCAGCAGCCGCCCCCCCCAGACACATTTGGCTCTGGGGTTTGGGGGGAAGGTCCTGGGACACTGTGGTCTGAGCCCTGGCCGCTGCCGCCACGCGGGAGGGCAGGGCAATGGTCTCTATGGCTCAGAGAGCGGTTCCCGATGCCCCTGCGGGCCCCAGGACAGGATGGGGATGAGGGTGAGGACGAGGACGACTGAGTGAGCGAGCGGAGGTTACGTTGCATAGTGATCGAAGCTGCCCAGGTACTCTAGCGCCGCTCGGTAACACAGTTGGTACTGGTCCTGGAGGCGCGGAAGAAAGGAGACGAGGAACGGTCACAGGAGGCCTCAGTCCCCTGAGGCAGGCAGACTCCCCCCGCCAGGAGCCGGCCCCCCAGCAAGGGGGAGCTCACCATGGCCCAAGGCAGCCCCTCTCCTCCCCCAATCCAACCGATTTTAGTGCTGCCCTTCAGGGCCCTGCAAAGCCAAGCTCCTCTTCTTCAAGGCAAACACTCCTACGTCTTTCAGCTGGTCATTATATAATATGGACTCAAGGTCCTTTCCCACCCTGGCTGCCTCTGCCCAGAGCTGACCCCCAGCCTCCAGGTGAGGTCTAATGTGGACAGAGAATGGAGGGGCTCCTCGCTCCTGGAAGCTCTGCCTCTTAGTGTGGCCTAAGATACCCCTGGTCTTTCTGGGGGCCACTGCTCCCCTTGCTACCGTCTTACTGAGCTTACAGGCCATTAGGACCCCTGGATCTTTTTTTAAGCACATTCCTTTGTGGATCTCCACGCTCACATCAGACATGACGTCGATCCCTACAGAACTTCATCTTGGATCCAGCCACGCCCCACTGGGGGACCCCACCTGCCCAGGCGCCTGTACCTCTGTCTGCACCATGGCGGGTCTCTGTGTGCGCAGGGTCTTCACGGTCTGGAACATGTCCACCACACCCTCGTAGCGCATGCGCTCCAGGACGATGCTCAGAGTGATAAAGACGCCAGTGCGGCCGACCCCGGCGCTGCAAGGGGGCAGCTTCAGGTTCAGGCATCCTCCTCCCAAGCCTGGCCCCTTCTGCCCTCACCCCAGCCTGGTCCCCCCACCAGGGCCCACCTGCAGTGCACGGTGATGGGTCCATCCTGGCCAAACTGCTCCTTGGTCTTGTGAACCTGCCCAATGAAGTCAATGAAGCCCTCGCCGGTCTTGGGCACCCCCTGCTCTGGCCAGTCTGTGAACTGGAACTGGCGGATTGTCCTCGATTGGCCGTCCTGGGGGGAATGCAGGTGGGTGAGAAAGAAAGCTCTCCCAGCGGCTGCCCCCGGGCATCTTGTTCTCCCCCCAGGCTGGGGGCACATGTGAGCACATGTATGTGTGGGGGGAAAAAACCAGGCCCAGTAGACTGGGGAAGGGGCTCGAACCTTCGTCACCCCACAGGCTGCAGGGCCTGGCACTGGCAGGACCTCAGCTCTGGGTCATCGGGTCACTCACACCCAATCTACAGATGATGGACCTGAGACCCCAAAGAAAATCAGAGCCCAAAGGAAATGTGAAGAGGGACTGCTTCTGGTGGCTAGGTCTCGCTTTCTGCGTCTGTGCAATGGGTAACAGCTGACGCTTGTGCTGACGTGACCATCACACACTGGGACTCCCAAGAGCAGGATGGCAGGGGTGTGGGGGCGCTCTGGCAGGCCCAGAGAGTGAGGCACCCCAGCCACCATGAGACTCACCAGGCCTTATCCCCCACCATTGGGAGAGGAGGAAACTGAGGCTTGGGGGTGAGCCCCATCAGTGAGGGGCAGAGCAGGGACAAGAGCCAGGGCCCGGCTCCACCCGGCATGTTCTGTGCAGCCCGATACAACCTGGCAGAATTGAACACTGGTCCAGGAGTCGGCCTGGCACCACGCTGGGGGAGCCAGGACAGACCCTGCCTTGGGAAGCTTGAAATGTTCCAGAGGGGAGGGTGTGGGGGTCCTGTTCTGGACACGGAGAGTGGGAGATGCCCACGGCAGGTCAAGGAGCAGTTGGTGATAAAGCCCTGGAGCTTAGGGGGTCAGGGTGGACAGAGAGGAAGGGGGACTCAGCCAAGAGATGGAATTTGGATCCGGGGGAGCCAATGAGATGGCTCGGGAATGTTAGAGAAGAGACAAAGGATGCCCAGGGACACCCAGGGAGGGAGGGATGGAGAAGAGGAGGTCAGAGCCAAGGAGCTACGTCGCAGAGAACCAGGGAAAGGCGATGGGCAGTGTCAGAGGCTGTAGGGGGGCCCCAGAGGACGAGGATGGAGAAGAGGTCATGGGATCTGGCAACTAGATTACCGGAGAGGGTGGGTTTGGACCTCAGGGGGCAGCTGCTGGGGACATGAGGGCTTTCACAGATGGGGAGACCTGGGCATGTCTGGGGAGAAGGTGAAGATTACAGAGGGAGAGGGGACGGCAGAGAGGGTGATGTGCAGGAGGAGAGGGGTGAGCCCGAGGCACACTCCAGAGGCAAGAAGGGCCATCTCTTCCTGCCCTGAGAGTGAAGGAGGAAAGTTTGGGGTATGATGCCTCAGTGCCCCTCCCCCGTACATCCCTGGCTCCTCCCACTCCATCTCATCTTCCCCTTCCCCACGTGCAGCCCGTGGCCACGTCCAGTCACTTCCGCCGCTGTGACATCTGCCTGAGTCACCCCCTCCTCTCCAGCCACCCACCGGGAGAGGACGGCCTCAGCCGAGAGGGCATGGGCAAGCACGGGCAGAGCCCAGGCTGGGAGCAGTGGCGGAGCGGCTGGCGCAGGCTGAGACAAGACTGGTCGTGATGGGACAAAGGGGCGAGAGATCCCAGGGAGGAGGGGAGGAGGACCACCACACAGAGGCAGGGCTGGGGAGGCCCAGCCGGGGGCTTAGCAAGGGGGAGGTGCAAGGACAGATGGGTGATGGGAGGGGGGAAGCGGAGGAATTCTAGAGTTCTGGCACATGCACGGGGGCCCTGGAACGCTCTCCCTCCTCATCTGCACCTCCCGGCTGCCTTCAAGTCCCAGCTAAAATGCCCCTTTCTACAGGAAGCCTCTCCTGATCCCGCTCCGGGATTTTCTCCCATTCTCTCCCGGTCCTGTTTCTATGTTGTTTGCATGTCATCTTCCCCTTTAGACCAGAAGCTCCTTGACAGCAGGAACTGTCTTTTGCCTCTCTTTGTCTCCCCAGCACAGAGCCTGGCACATTAATAAATGCTTGTGAACTTGCCTTGATGTCTGTGTGTGGCCAAGAGCAAGGGCAGCGTGAGGCCTGGGAGGCCACAGTGAGTGAATGAAAAGATGGGGCGCTGGGGTGGGGAGGGAGACAGGGAGCCAGGGCCTGACTCACTTGGGGGCCCCCCAGAGAGCAGCCACCAGGACCAGGAGGGAAGGACAGGGCAGGACAAGAAGCTTGGGACTACCAGGGGAGGGAGAAGTCCCTGAACCAGGAAAGGAGGGTGACCTGCAGAGCTGGCACCAGGAGAGCATGCCAAGGGGACCACAGGGCAAAGGGCGGAGGAGGGCACCCAGATGCCATCCTGGGCCAGGCACATACCCTGGCATCTGTGACCTTGAACTCTCGTAGGATGTACTGCGGCATGTTGTACTCGGCCATTGGGTCCACCACAAAATACTGGTAGCGAGCAGAGCGTTCAGCTGGCCAATACTGATGGCATTTTTCCTGGGGGAGGGCAGGGGTCAGAGAAAGAATCAGGGCCCAGGGCAGAGGCAGAGCAGCCCAGGCAGCAGAGATGGGGCCCTGAGTCACATCCAGGGCAGCCTGAGGGGCAAAGATGGGGCCCAGGGGCTCAGAGATGGGGCCAAGGGCTCAGCCAGAGCAGCCCAGGGGGCAGAGATGGGGCCCAGGGCTCAGCCAGAGCAGCCCAGGGGGCAGAGATGGGGCCTGGGGTTCAGCCATAACAGCCAGGGGGGCAGAGGTGGAGCCCGGGGCTCAGCCATAACAGGCAGGGGGCAGAGATGGGGCCCAGGGGCTCAGCCAGGGGGGCAGAGATGGGGCCCAGGGGCTCAGCCAGGGCAGTCTAGGGGACCAAGAAGGGTCCAGTGTGGGGAGGGAGAGAACATGAGTCTCACCCGCCCCATCTCCCGAAGCTTGGTCAGCATCACCACAATGGTTGAGTTGTGTTCCCAGAGCATCCGCCAGAAGTCCTCTGTGCTCTCAGCCAGCGGCCCCTGTGTGGCAATGTAGGCTTTCTGCTGCCTGAGACAGGGAAAGGGGCGTCACATGCACTGGCACCTGGTGTCCAGGATCTGCACCTGGGCTTTGCCTTTTTGACTCAGACTCATGCCCCCCCAATCCTCCCCACTAAAAAAACCCAAGCAGTGTCTTGTTCAATTCTCTCGCAGTTCCTCCCTACTGAGGTCTGAGGGTGAGAATCCAAGTTTTTCTTCCTGGCATTCAAGGCCTCCCGTACCCAGCTGCCTCCCCTCCCACCGGCAGGCTGTGGACCTCCACCTTCTGCAGCCATCCCTACAGGCTGGGCAGGCCCCAGTGCCCCCATGCAGGTAGTGGCCCAGCCCCACTGACCTGTATCCATCGATGAAGCTGGCATTGATGTAGTCTGAGCCCTCCACACCCCGGATGGGCTGCAGGCAGACGCGGGTCAGCTCGTACGGCATGATATTCACCAGCCGATTCTTAAACTTGTTGCAGGGAAGGTTGGCGCTGATGAATCGCGACGTGTGGGCCTTGGAGCTCGCCAACAGCTGTGGGCCCGAGAGGGTTCAGTCAGGGGGCTCTGCCCCTTGGAGGCAGAGATGGGCTTGGGCCAGGCCCTGGCAGAGTGAGAGGCAGCCCCTCAAGAGCAGAGCTGGTGCTTCAAGGGGAGCCGCTAGGGATCAGGGCCTAGGAGGAAAGTCTCTGGTGGAAGGCCTGAGGGCTCTGTGCTTGGGGTTATCAATGACTTGGACAAAGGAAGTAAGGATACCAAAAGATCATGTCTGACCAGACTATTAGCCTGACTCCCAGAAGATGAAATCCCAGAGGGATAAATGGGGAAGGCTTGGTTAGGAGGCTTTTGAGGGGCTACCGGTTTTCTGAGTCAGCGGCACAGGAACCCAGCCACTAAGGAAGACTAAGCCTTGGTATTTAATGGGAGAGAGAAGCAGGGGACCATCCCACAGTTCTCAGCCCACATCTGGGGGACTGCTGGGTGGTGAAGTAGAGTGTCCAGAAGATGGCGGCCAGGTTGGGGAAGGGCCTGTCATAGAGGTGGACTGAGGGTGTTTAGCCTACAAAAGACAAGGCTTGGGGGGGGGGTGAGGAGGGGGAAGGGGGTGAGACATGGGAGCCGTGTTCAAGTCTTGGCAGGGCTGTCCTACGGAGGAGAGACGAGACTCCTGCTTGGCCTCCAAAGGTGGAACAAGGAGCAGGTGAGGGGCGCTATCTAGTAAGCTGCTGGACCAGCACCTGCAGGACCAGATGCCTGCCTCTGGGATCCCTGATAGCTCAGAGACTCTGAGGGGGAACAGACGGCGGCGCCAGGGCACCAGCCTCGCCCTGGCGTTCCACCCACCTTGAACTCCAGCTCCATGGCGGTCACGCTTTCCCCAGGTGGCACCTGGCCCAGCTTCTGTATGTGGGCGTAGAGGCTTCGGGCTGGCACCTCCGTGTGGCCACATGTGGCCGCTTCCAGGAGGGCCTCGTGGATGAAGACGTACTGGTCCTCCGTCTGTACCATGTAGTTGCGCTGTGAGCGCATGCATGTCACGTGTCCGTAGATGTCCACGGTCTTCTCGTGCTTCATGCGCTCCAGCATGGCGTCCGTGACGATGAAGCAGCCCGTGCGGCCCACACCAGCACTAGGGGACACACAAGGGTTAGGCTTCGGCTTGGAAATGGAACTCCTCTGATCCCGGGCCCTCAGCCTGGGCCTAAACACATGGATTTAAGCCCAGACGGGTCTCAATAGACCTGGGTTCTGGGCAGAATTGAATCAGATGAAATGTAATAGGAGAGATGTAAAGTCTTATACTTGGCCTAAAAAAGTCAACTCAATACAACGTGGAGGGAGGCAGGGCTGGAAAGTACTGTCTGAAAAAAGATCTTGGGGTTTTAGTGGGACGCAAGCCCAATGAAACAGCAGTCTGATGAGACAGCCAAGAAAACTCTCGGGTCTCGGACTCGTTAAGAGAGAGCCGGAGCTTCCAACCCTGAGGAGATGATGGGCCCTCTGCCTCTGCCCAGGCCCTGGGTTCAGGAAGCTAACTGCTAAGCTGGAGTGTCTGGAGGAGGGCATCCAGCATGGGGAAGGGGCCAGACTCCACATCGGAGGAGAATCTGTTAAAGGAATTGATGTGTGCTGGAGAGAAGATTCAGGAGAGACAGAAGTGTCGTCTGCTGGTCTTCAAAGGACCATTATGTGCCGGAGGGCTTGGCCCTGTCCTGTCTCATCCCAGAGGACAGACCACAGAGGGCAATGAGGGAGAGCCATCCCAACGTGGGATGGGCTGCTTTAGGAGGTGATGAGCTCCCCGACACTGCACGTCTTCAAGCCTCTTTCGGGACAGCGTGTCCAGATAGAGGACAGAATAACTACACCGAGGCCCCTTCTATCTGGGAGTTCTGGGACACTGGACTGGGTACCAGACGCCTGAGTTCGAATACAGCCTCTGCCCCTTACCAGCTGTGCGGCCTGATGGTTTTCTCGTCTGTAACATGGACCCCCGCCCCAGAGAGCGTGAGTGAGGGGGGCTCTCGAGCTGACAGTGCTGGTTCCAGCCTCCTCACTGGAGTGCTGGAACTCTGGAGCTCACAGCGCTAGGCTATCTGTCCAGTCCATTCTAAAGTGCATGCCTGCTCCTAGCGACCCCCTTCTCAAAAAATAACTGGCCTTCAACGTCTCACTTCCCAGCCTTCTCCAACTGAAGAGTTCTTGAGCAGCGCCCATCCTGCTCCCTCCCGTCTGTGTCTTTGCTCACACTCTCTTCTCCAAGCGTGGCCATCACCTCCTCCTGCGGAGGTCAGGCCTCCCTCGACCCTCTCCCTGAGATGTGTCTCAGCCCTTCCTCACTCTCCATCCCGTCCAAGGGCTCTCTAGGACGCCCCCTCCTCTCCACTGACAGGTGGCTCACACCTTGACTGTTTCAACAGCTGCTGGGGCGGGGATCTCCCTGCTGAGCCTCTCTCCACCCCAGCCTATCCTCCACTCAGCCACCAAAGGGAGGTCACGTCACCTCCCACTACTCCATGAACGCCAGGGGCTCCTTATCACCTCCAGGATCAAAGACAAAGCACTCCGTTTGACACTCAAAGCCCTTCCTAACCTAGGTGCCCCAGTCTTCCTACACCTCATTCCTCCACAAGTACTCTTGGACCCAGTGACACTGGCCTCCTGGCTGTTCCATCTCTCAGCTCCCGGCCTGGAACTCTCTCCCTCCTCTGCTCTGACTGCTGACCTCCTTGGCTTCTTTCTAAGTCCTAACTAAAATGCCGCCTTTTACTGGAAGCCTTTCCCATCCCCTCTTAATTCTATTTTTATTTTTTTGCTTTTTGGTGAAGCAATCGGGGTTAAGTGACTTGCCCAGGGTCACAGACATAGTAAGTATCAAGTGTCTGAGGCCAGATTTGAACTCAGGTCCTCCTGACTCCAAGGCCAGAGCTCTATCCATTGCACCACCTAGCTGCCCCATCCCTCTTAATTCTAGTGCTGTCCCTTTTTTAAATTATTTCCTATTTTTCCTTTACGTAGCTTATTTTCTACATCTTTGTTTGCTTGTTGTTCAATTGTAAGATTCTTAAGGGCAAGGACTATCTTTTGCTTCTTTTTGAGTCCCCAGCACTTAGTACAAGGCCCAGGCACATAATAAGTATTTAATAAATATTTACTGACTATCCAACTTATCTGTCTGAATCATGCTGAATTGCCCCTGCAGAAGGCAAACTCCCTGACAACAGGGTTTGTTTTGTTTTTATCTTTACATTTCTAGCACCAAGGACAGGGGCCTGGCACAGAGAAGGTGCTCAATAGCTGCCCTTTTCTGAAATAAAGGAAGCTGAATAACTGGAAATTCCTTGTTCATGGTTAGTCTGCACCAACATTAACAACAATGACTATACACTACATAATTAAAGGATTTGGTGCCATATCAATCAAAATACTAACAGATTATCTGATAGAGTCTAACAATATCAAACTTCATGTAGAGGAACGAAAGGTCAATAATCTAAAGAAAACAATGAGGAAAAGCAGAAAAGAAAGGAACGAAACATTATCTGATTTGAAATCATATTACAAAGAAGTAATCTGCAGAGCTATTTAGTTAAAAAATAGAGAAGGAGACCTCGGTGGCACGGGTTAAACATTAAACAATCAACAAACAGTGTCAGGAACTATGCTAAGCAGTGGTAAGCATAGAAGTACAGGAATACCATCACCCAGCATTCAGGAAACTTAAAAACACAAACTATGGGAGGGAGGGAGGGGAGAAAGGTGGATTTCCCTTTTTTTGACAAGAACCACTGGCTAAACTGCAAAGCAGTTTGGCATAGGTTTAGACCAACATCTTGCACCATATACTATAATAATCTCCAAATGGACCATAAAATATATATAAGGTCACATCTTTAAAAAATTACAAAACCAAAGCAGCAGGTAGCTTCCACAACTATGGCAAGAGAAGAATTCAGAAACAAAGGCGTGGGTAATTGTAAAAATTCATAGATTTGTAGATGGAAGGAACTTTAGAGATTCATTAACCCAATTCTCTTATTTTACAGATGGGGAAACTGAGGCCTAGAGAGGTTAAGAGGCTTGCCTAGAATCACAGAGCTAGCAGGTGAGATTTGAACTCAAGTCCTGACTCTAAACCTAGTACTTTTCCCATTGTGCCATGCCAATAAAGAGACTATTTCAATTACATAAAATTTTAAAGTGTTGTTGCATGAGCAAAATCAATGTGGATAGAGTAAGAAGAGAACGTGTTGAGTGAGAAAAATCTTGGCACGACACACATACCATTGACAAAGGTCATACACCCAGGTTACATAAGAAATTGACACAAATACCCAAGTCCAAGAAGAGTTACCCCAACTGATCAAGTGGCCGAAGGACATTTGCAAAGATGAAAAACACCAAAAATGCTCCACATTACTAATAACAGGGAAATTCAAATTAAAACAACTCTAGTGTTCCATCTCACACTCATCAGATTGGCAAAGATGAAAAAAAAATGGAAATAACCCACGTTGGAAGAGGTATGGGAAGAAAGACGCTAATACATTGATGGTGGAATTGTGAACTGCTCCAGATATTCTGGAAAACATGGAATTATGTAAGAAAAGTCACTAAACTGTCCATAACTTTTGGCTCAGTGGACTGCTAGGCATAGACCCCAAGGAGGTGAACAACAGAAAGAAGTCTACATAACAAAATATTCATGGCAGTTTTTTTTTTTTGGTGGCAGCAAAAAAACTGGAAACAAAGAGTGTCCACCAACTGGGAAAGGGCTTTAACAAACTCTGGTATACGAATGTAACGGAATATTTCCTGGTTTCCCTCGAGACTCAATTCAGTCCTACTCTCTGCAGCAGACTTTTCCTAGTCCCGGCTGCTAGCTCCCTAACCCTCTGTCTTGTCTCCATCTTGGAGGTACACAAGTTTTTGTGTGTGGTCATCCCCCATTAGAATGTAAGGTCTCTTGGGGCCAGGAGGGGGTTTTTGCCTTTCTTTATTGCCTGGCACACAGTAGGTGCTTAATAAATGCTTATTGTCTGATGGCAGCAGCAGAAACCACATGAAGAATTTTTAAAAACCTGGGAAGACCTCTAAGAATGGCCACAGAGTAAAAAGCAAGGTACAGAGAACAATCCTGCCAAGTGTTCTCCAGCTTCTGCCCGAAGACCTCCAGGATGGGGAACTCACTACCTCCTGAGGGGGCACTCATGCCACTTTGGGACAACTCTTGTTACGTGAATTAAGTTAATTAAGCTCTTGAAAGTTAATTGTTAATAACTTCTCCCTTACATAGAGCCTTGGACCTGGCTCTCTTGACTCTACTGAGTCTTTCCAGGCTGAACCTCCTTCCCCTGATCCTCCCATAACCTCTGCACTCCAGGCCCTTCACCAGCCTGGCTGCGCCCCTCTGGGTGGCATCCAGATGAAGTCTGACCAGGCAGAAGTCAGGAAGATGGTCACCTCCCCCGATTCTGGCCATGATGCCTTCTCTCTCAATGCAACCCAAGATCACACTGGCTATTTCAGGCTGCTTCACGTCCAGCCTGCAGTCCACTCAAACCCCCAGATCTCTTTCAGCCAAACTGCTATTCTAGCCAAGCCTCCCCTAGCCTCTAACTGGGGAGTGGATCTGTCGAACCCAAGGGTCAGACTCGGCGTTTCTCTCATGGGAAGCAGCCCTCGTTAGACCTGGCCTGATCCACTGCGGAGTTTGGGGAGGGTAGATCAGAGCAGCATGGTGCCCGGCCCCCACACATGCCCTCACCTGCAGTGTACCACCATGGGCCCAGCATCCAGGGGGTTGCAGGCCTTGACCCTGCGCAGGAAGGCCAGGGTGGGGGTTGGGTACTCAGGGACCCCGTGGTCAGGCCAGGCCAGGAACTGGAACTGACGAAGCTCCCGCTTCTCACTGGAGCCGGTCTGGCGGGAGAAGCATGGGCCAGGGCTGGGTGTCATTGTGAGCTGCCCGTGCTGAACCCCCTGCCCCACCCAACTGCCAGCTCCTTATCCCCCCACCATGCCCCCTCCTCCACACCCTCTCCTGGTCTCTCTCTGGGCCAGGCTTCCCTCCCTCCCTGCTGGCCCGGGAACCCCCTTGGGGCCCCTGGCACCTTGTACAGGGCGAAGGTGCGGACGGTGTAGGTGGCCAGCTCCACAGTGTCCAGCAGCGTCACCTGGACGAACCCATAGGTCTCAGTGCCCCGGCTCGGCCAATACTGATCACACTTCACCTGTGGCAAGGACAGGCAGGGCTGGACGTAAGTGTGGGAAGCCGGGGTGGATGAGCTGAAGGGCCGAGGGATCTGGCCTCTGGGACAAGACTCCTTGTCTGGGGCCTTCATGGAATGTTCATTGGCCTCGCCCACAGGCTGCCCACTCCGGCCTGACCCGTTTGCTGCCACTTTTCTTCATCGTGTTCCTGAGCCATTTTCAGGCGCCCCACCCTCCCCACTTAGCGGCACACACCAGATTCTCAGGGGCCTCAGCCTGCACCTGACCAAGAACCCCCATAACGCTGTCCTTGACAAGTGTCACTCCATCACTGCTTGGAGGCCTCCAGTGATGGGGAGCTCATCACCTCCCAAAGCAGCCCACTCCAGCTCTCGCTGCCTGCACGTTTTTCTCAGCATCTGATCCCTCCTCCTCCTCCTCCTCCTCCTGGTTCTGCTTTAGAGTCCAACAGAACCAGCTCTCCTCCCCTTCCCTGGTCTCCTGTCCACCATACTACTTCGTGCCCAGCTCCTGCAAGCCTCGCTCTGCAGGGACTCGTCTCCTCCCTCATCCCCTCACCTCTGGCTCTCCACGCCGAGCTGCTGAGCCCACACCTGCTCCCTGGGGAACAACTCACCCGGGACTTCTCCTCCAGCCGTGTCATCATGACGATGGTGGCCGTCCGCTGCTCCCACACCATGCGCCAGAAGTCGCCGAGGGTCTCGGGCAGGGGTCCCTGGGTGGCGATGTAGGCATTCTGCTTGCGGTAACCATCAATGTAGTTGGCATTGATGTAGTCGCTGCCAGGGACCCCTATGGGAGCCAGGGGCACATACAAGAGTGTGAGAAGTGCTGGGTGGGAGTGGGACAGCTGGCCTCTGGGCAACCCCCCTGCCCCAGGATCTGCTCCCACCCAGTGTGCATGATGGACGATTCACTTCCCCTCTCTCGGACGTGTTTTTCCCTTCTGTAAAATGGGTGGAGGGTCAGAAGGGCTCACCATCGATGGACGTAAGGATGACCCGGGAGTGGTCGTAGGCAATCACGTTGGCATAGCGGTTCTTGGGCTTGTTGACCTCCAAGTTTGAGTTCTCCCAGGTGAACTGCTGCCCTGGGTCAATGGACTGCAGGAGGGCACAGAAGCAGACAAAGCCTCAGAGGGAGGCACAGGGGGTGCTCGTGTCAGGGAGGGGCTTCGAGCTCAGGCTCTGCACCCACACCTGCTCCTCACAGCTGAACTCCAATGCTGCCCCTTCTGGGAAGCCCACCCTGATTCCCCAGACAGGAGGCCCAGGTCTGCCAGCCATTGGAAGTGCTAGTGGCCACAGGAGGGCACCTTCGGGGCATCAGATCAAACACTGTTGACCAGGTAAGGGAAAGGAATCTGTGCGAGTCAGGGCCTCCCAGAGGAAGAGGGATCTAAATCAGGGTTTGATTTGGGCATTCTAGGTGGGGAGAACAGCACAGATAAAGGCGTGGAGGCTGGGCTGGAACACAAGGCCTTGAACTCCAGGAGCAGAAGCAGAGGCATCCCTAGGCAGACACGTGGTTCGTGCTCTCCAGAGCCCTGAATTACTGCCAGGCTGGGTACATGCCTGGAGGTGGTAGGCTTCCTAGAAGATACCTAGGGGTTTACTGAAGATGGGAACAAAGGGAGAAAAAAGGGCTGGGGCTGAGCCAGAGGCCTCGGGAGTGGGAAGAGAGATAGGAGAGGCTGCAAGTGTGGGCAGCTGGGCAGCACTTGGCAAATGAGGAGATGTGAGGAGAAGGAAAGGAGACGTGGCTGGGCTGAGCATGACAGACGAGGGGTAGCGGGGCCCCCAGAGACCTCTCTTGCCTCGTCCTCCATGGCGACAGCTTGGGCGAAAACATTATTCTGCAGTGAGATGAGCCTCCCCGCCTTCTCCCTATGGGCTCAGACCTGCTCTGCCCTGATATCCTCGGATGCGGAGCCCCTTGAGGGCAGGGCCCAGGTCCATCTGTTCCCAGTGTCCCTAAGACCCCCAGGAGGCGTCTGTCTAATGGACGCTGAGTGGGAGGTCACCTCCACGTCCTGAAGGGTCGGCCACCCCAACCCTCCCGCCAGAGTTGGTGTCAGACCCCTAGAGCCCCCTCACCTCATACTCCTGGGAGAACTTCAGGCCATCATTGGCCTTGAGCCGCTCAATGTTGTCGGCTAGGTCTGTTATGGGAATGGGTGGGTGGTCCCGCATGCCTGAGGATCACATAAGGATATCCAGATCAGTGGGGGGCAGGACAGGGTCTGGGGGATAGCCACAATGCATGTGTGTGCACACATGTGAACACGTGTGACCATGGGTGAGCCAGCACATGGTGGTGTGATGATGGACACGGCAGCACATGCGATGACACGGATGGGTGGAGCATGTGAAAGAATGGAGAGTAGAAAGGAGGGCAGGTGTGGCATGTGCACGCGTGCCCACGTGTGTCTGTGTGTGCACGCAGGGCATGTGTGTGTGTCGGGGGAGAGACCGGAGAAGGGGCTGACCGTCCTGACAGTACACACATGTACCCAGAGACAAGGAGTCAGGGACCTGAGACACCTCGTCTAGAAGCTGCCCACAGTGTCCCCAGCGAGCGGCCCTTCCCTGACACCCTGGTGCTGCCCCTGCCTCTCTGGGCCCTGCCCCCATGCAGTGACTGCCCCAGCTGACTCCTCTCACTTCCTCAGTGTCTTTACCTAACAGACCTGCGCTCCAAAGGAGGCCTAAGCTGGGTAGAGGGCCCCGATGCAGGCAGCTGTGCCCTCTCCATGTAAACCCAAATCCCAAGACGTCACCCACCCAATTTTCAGAGCTCCACAAATAGGGGCCAAGAAGAAAGGGTAGAGTTGTGGCTAAGAGAGGAGCGAGCTGGCCTCAGGGATCCAGCAACTGGCACTCAAGTCTGGCCCCTGACCCCAGGCCTCACGCAACCTCTAGACTCATGGCCGTCCATGGGCCCTGGCATTTCCTCACCAGGAAGTACCCTACCTGAATGAAATCACAGGTTCAGAGAAAGACCAAAGATGGTGTCCAGCACTGTGCTGGGCACCGGGGAGAGGGACAGAGGCTAGAAGGAAACAGGCCCTGCTTCAAGGGGCTTGGTGGTGAAAGCATGGAAAAATTCAACATGAGAATTGGAAAAGAAAAAACTCATCAACCACTGGGGCTCTCATGAAAGACGTCCTCTAGGAGATGGCCTGGACCCTGAGCCCTGAAAGGAGACCAAGATGCCAGTCTTCAGCTCCAGGACCCCTAGACTTTCTCACCTTGCCAGGAGCCTCCCTCAGCTGTTAGGGTCAGAGGATCAGAGATCCACAGCTAGAGGCTGTGGGGTCCCCCTCTCACTTTACAGCCAAAGACATTGAGGGACAGGGACACCCAGCCTAGCCAGTGTCCAAGGCAGGATTACAGTGAGTCCTGGGGCTGGAAAGGACTCCCATTAACCAAGGAGGATCAGAGACCCCCAAGGTCACACAGCTAGGAATTAGCTGAGGCAGAATGCAGCCTCGGGCCTTCTGGCCTCCAGGTCCAGCACATGCTCCAGTGGACCACCCCGATGCCTCCCAGCTGCCTTTGCCTTTTCCCTTTGAACCCAAATGTAAGACTTTCTATCGATCCCTTTATTAAATGACATCTTATCAGAACTGCCCACACAGTCAAGTATCATCCAGATCTCTGGGGCTGCTGATTCAGGGCCCAGATGTAGCTAAACCCAAGTGACTCAGCACAGAGATGTTCTATGGGACCAGGCAGACACCGGTCCCTCTGTGGGTCCCCCCATTTCAGGCCTGCCTTCCTTCCCTATGGGCTAGCCCTCATCCACACTGATGGTGTAAGAGAATCACAGAGACGGAAAGACAAGGAGAGACAGCGACATGGAGAGGAGACAGGAAGGACTGAGTAGGGAAGGGAGGCGGAGAAGGAGCTCCAAAGAGGAAAGGGAGCAGACAGCCAAGGCTGGAAGGATGGGACACAGAGAAGATGAGACACAAGAATACAGAGACGCAGGAAGCTCAGAAACTAACTTGAAATGTTCGGGCAACTGGGGACACTGGAACCTGCGGAGAAAAGACAGACAGAACTCGGGGCGCGAACGAGGGCACACGCTGGCCTCACCCCGTGGGCTGCTCATGGTCCCTGGGGCAGGGCCCAGGCCAGTGCTGCAGGAATGGTCAGAGAATCGGGAGGCAGGGAGGCTGGGGCCAGGGATGAGGGCAGAACAGACCTCAGTCTGAAGCTGGAAGGAGGGATAACAGGGTAGGGGGAGGGAGATGTAGGGCCAGGAATGACAGAGTCTGAGCTTAGCCCCTCTTGGGGAGCAGGCAGGGTCCTCAGAGGCATCAAGTGCAAGTCTAACCTGCCAAAGAAGCCCCTGGACAGCAGAACTGATCATGGACATCCAACCGGGGCTTGGAGCCCTCCAGGGACAGGTAGCTTACTACCTCTACTCAGGATGACGGACAGCTGTCATCAGGACCCACTTGATCATGCTGTAACTTCCCAAGTGCTTCTGAGGCTGAGCAGAGCAGCCCAGCTCACGGCATCTTCCCAGTATGGGGCTGGCCAGGGATGCCCCAAACAAGGCCTGGCATCCTTGAGGCTGAGCCCACCCCGGCAGCTCACAAAGCTCCTACCTGGGGTCTGGTAGTTGAGCCTTCTCATCTCCACAGGGTCTGAGGAGTGGGCCAGCAGCGAGTCCTTCAGCCCCACAGACTGCTCATCCTTAGCCGAAGGAGAGTTGGTCCTTTTCCTAAGACAGCAGAGATAGGGCCTCTGGGTGGGGTGGCCTGGGGATCTGGCAATGGGAGGGAGTCAGGGCAGAGCGAGGGGAAGGGCAGCCAGAGTCCCGGCCACACCTTGGATCACTGAAGACATGACGTGGACAGCATGCAGATGACGTGATTAGCATGGGGACAAGCACACCAAGCCTGGGGTGGGCTCCCTGAGAAGACTCACATCGGCCCCTCCTTTGCAGGGGAGGAGAGAGCCCAGCCTGGCTTGCTGTGCCATACTGAGCATAGACAAGACCGTTCCTGGTCTCAGACATCTGTGTGGGATGGCAGAGATCCAGGAGATGAGAAGAGCCAGGGAAGGGCCCCGCCTGCCTGCCCAGGGAGGCTGGGGGCACTTTCCAACAGGCCAGGCCGTGGGGGTGGGGGGCAATGAATTGCCTATGTCTCCCTTTGGTTTTGCCTGGTCCCAGATCCAAAGGCTGGCCCTGTCCTTGTCTCCTGCCTTGATTGCTGGGCCTCAACGATGGCCCCTGGATGTATCCTCACCATCCCAGCTCCCTTAGGCTATGCTCCATCACCTTCCACCTCCTCCACCAAGCCCCCAAGCCAGTACTGTCTCCCTTCCCTGCCCCTGTGACCTCAGTACAGCCATCTCTCTGGCCCCTCTTCCTGGTCATTCTCTAATCCCTCAGAGTCAGACACATCAGTGTCCTGCATGTCCTCGTTCATCTGTGACTGCTTCTTCTTCACCTTCTTCCTGAAATGTCCACATGGGCAGTCACCAAGGGTATGCCTGTGTTTCTACCCTCACCGGCCTTTCCCAGTGCCATGCCCAGGCTCCAAACCCAAGAACCATCCTGGCTGCCTCATTCTCTCACCCCCCACATCCAAGCTGTTGTCAAGGCCCAGTCATTTCACCTTTGCCGCATCTCTCTGATACGTCCCCTTCTCTATTCTGACATGGCTCCCCCCTCAACGCAGGCCCTCATCACCTCACACCCAGATTACTGCAGTAGCTGCTGGTGAGGTCTGCCCGCCTCACATCTCTCCCCACTCGAGTCCAGTCCCACTCAGCCACCAAAGTGATTTTCCTGATTGTAGGTCTGACTGCGTCACTCCCCCACTCAATGAATGTTAGCGATGCCCTACTGTGGGCAAAGTGAAATTCAAACAACTGTGGCTGGCCCACAAGGCCCCCTGCGACCTGATCTCACATTGCTGGCTTCCACCAGCTCCCTGAACCTGTAGAAGGCTCCAGTCTCCATATTGCTCTGGCCATTCCCCATCATGACCTGTAGCACTTGCCTCATTCACTCGCTCCTATTCCTTAGCATTCAGCCCAAGCGCTGCCTCTTCCAGAAAGCCTCCCTGATCACCGTGTCTTGACAGTTGTGCTGGTGGCTCGTGGTCCTCTAGATGAGCCACTGTCCCATGAGGGCAGCTCTGGACTCTCTTCCCACCTCCCCCCATCTCCTGTGCTACACATCAGATGCTTGGTCAAAGTTTGTTGAATGGATATATGTCTCAAGGTTCACATATTGCATGTCTGCCCATCTTGGTTTCACAGATGAAGAAACACAAGTTCATTAAGGTTGGTAAGAGGCAAGGCAGAGAGTGGCTTCCAGCTGCCTGACTCTTGGGCTGGGGTCCTGCTCCCTTCAGGAAAGACATGCCGCCTATGGGTGGCCCCTTTGCTTGCAGATGCTAGGAAGCCCTGGCTAGAAATGGGCCAGGGGTCTGAGAAATTAGCATTTGCTGGTCCAGGCTCTTAAGTCCTCGGTCACAAAGCATGTCTCTACTTGGCCTCAAGGATCATGGGAGTGTGTGTGAACCAGCAAGCAATGAGGAGGGTGAGCTCTGCTGGGCCATGAGGGAACGCTAGGGAGATGTGAATCAGCAAGGGAGGAAGTCTGCCTCGCTGGCCCCTGGGAAACCCAGCCAGGGCTGTATCTGTCTGCGCCAGCGAGGGCCCAGGACGAGGCTGAAGGGGCGTGAAGTAGCGCGGGAAGTCGGGAGCACAGAGCAGGGGTCTGCGTTCTGGAGGCTCAAGGCAGGGTGAGGGGGCAAGGAGACAAAATGGGTTCCTACCTTTCTTGTTTACTAGATCCAGAGACAAGCAAGGACAGAAGAGAGGAGCGGTCAGTGTTACCCTAGAGCCCAGGGCCCCAGAGGACAAGCACGACACCCAGCAGGGAGCACAGGAAGACCCTTGCGGAGTGTCTGCACTGGGCCAGCCCCTTCCACCTCAGCCCCAAACAGTGCAGTACAGGACCCTGGTGGTCAGCAATGAGGCAAGAACTCCCACATACACAGATATGCACACGCATGAAGACATACATGTGGACAGATGGACGTGGACGCCCTGAGAGCAAGGACCATGAAATATTTCTTCCCTGGGTCCAGCACACGGCTCTGCACACAGCTGGAGCTTAAAGGGCAAAGAACATGGGAGCCCAGAGTGGCCCTGGGAGCCATCTGGTGCTGCCCCTCATTGTAGGGTTGGACCGAGAGTGGAAGGGTCAAGGTCACACAGCAAGGAAGCCAGGCCTCCTGTATACAGGAGTGAACACAGCCACACCTACCCACACACATATTCACCCCACCCCCACAAACTCCCCTGCCCCCTACCCCCGCTTCTGCTCTGCTAGAAGCCACTTGGTTTTGGGTCCACCCGCTTCGCCGCTCACCTCTTGAAGAGGAGGATGGCGATGACAATGAGGATGATGAGGATGACGGCCAGCACAGGACCCATGACCCACAGCATCTCGGGCTCATCCTGCTGCTTAGCTGAGGACACTTCCACGAGGATCTCGTCAGAGTACGGGCTGGCTGCGTACTGCCGCTGGGGACATACACAGGGGTGGGGCGGCACAACTGTGAGGGCTGGGCTGCATTTGTGTGTGTGAACACCAGAGGAGGCCCGCAGGGTGCAGGAAAAGGGTCAGGAGAAACACGGGGCAGGGTGGGTTGGCCTCTTGGAAGAAGGGAGAATACAGCTTGACCTCAACGGTGAGCAGTCTGGGGTGTCGGGGGGTGATTTAGGTAGGACAGGAGGCTGGCCCAGCTAGAGAGTGGGGAAGGAGCTAAGGGGCAGCCACAGGAGCTGAAGAGGAATGGGACCAGGGGCTCAGGTGGCAGACTTGGCAGGACAGTGCAGGGGGAGTGGCTGGAGACCAGAAACACTGAGACACGGACACGAGACGAGAGGAAGTGGGAAGAACTAAAGATACGCCCAAGGAGACACCATGGGACTGGACCAAAGTGGGGACGAGGGGTGAGGCACCAGGCAGACAGGCACACCGGGGCCTCCTGAGAGCAGAGAGGACGACCCCAGCTGTCACTCACATGGCACCTCTGGCTCCTCCCATCCCCCCCGCCCACTTCCTCCTTCACTGCACCCTGCACACATGACCTGAAGGACAGGTCTGGGCTCTGGGTGGCCACCAGCTGCCTCTGACAAGAATGGCAGCCCTGGCGGAAGATCGGCCTCAGGCCCTCGCTGGGCTCCCACAAGCCTGCCCCACCCATCCCACGTACTGCACTCTTGCCAGGCTGGCTTCCTTTGTTCCTAGAAAGCCCCCCACCCTGCTCAGGGGCTCCCCTATTCTCTGCCTCTCTGCACCTTCCTGGGTCTTGGGGGCTTCCAGGAAGCCTCCCAGACTATGGCTCTGCACAGGGCATGCAGATGCTTGGGGGCAGGGACCACATCTTACACCTCTGAATGGGGGTCTCACTGGACAGCAACCTCCAGAGTGAGGGGCAACCCCCACAAAGTTCACAGGACCCGGGGATGCATGGAAGGGCTGAGTACAAAACTAGAGCGATACTGCCCCTGTCCTTGGTCCTGCTCAGACCTCATCTGGCATCCACAGTGCAGTGCTGCCCCAGGGCAGTGTCCACAGGAGGGCAGCCAGGCTGGGGAATGTGGGGATTGGTGGAAAGAACTGGGAATGCTGACCCTCTTGGGAAGGAGGACACAAGAGCTGTCCTCCCATATCTGGGGGGCCGTATCAACAGGGAAGAGGATGTAGTCCGGGAGGCTTCCTGAGGCCGAGCAGAGATGAGGGGTTGAAAGGTGCAAAGAGACAGCTGAGGCCTGGAGTCGGGACACAGTCCCTGCCAACCTGAGCTGCCTCCCCATGGCCTGGCCCTCGCTATCTCTGCAGAGGTGTTAGCCGAGGTGGGAGAGCACAGGCTGGGCAGGAGGCAGCCGGGAGGGCTGAGCTGCACGGCCTGAGATTTTGCCCACTGAGAAGCAACAGGAAATGCTGCCAGGCCTGCTCAGGAGGCAGGAAGAGCCCTGGCCAAGATGCCCGGTGGGAGCCTGGTGGAAGCCCCGTGGGGCCCCTGCAACCGACACTCTACTACATAGCACACAGACACTATCAACTTTCCAATTAAAAATGGTTGTGATCTGCTCATTACAGCAGAATATCAGCCACGGGCTGAGGGCATCAGAAGAACCAGCAGCCCTTCTCTACAACGGGAGAGGAAGCCCCCCGTTCCCCGTGGCCTTCCTCCAGGGCCCCACAGCCCACACCCCGCTGCTCAATCACTCTCCCGGGTGCCTGCTCTCACCGTGTCCCCTGCCTCCAGCGCGGCCAGCACGAAGCAGTGGTAGCTGAGGTCTGGGGACAGAGGCCGATTGTAGAAGCCGTTGTAATTCTTCTTGTCTCCGAGGGTGAAGGTCTCAGGCAGCTCTTCCACCTGAGCCGCGATGTAGGGCTTCAGCCGCTCTATCTGCCGCCGCCGCCGCCGCGCGGCTGCACCTCCATGGCCGATGGCCTCCAGTAGCTGGAGGCAGGACACAGGGCTTGAAAGGATGCCAGGCCCCAAGGCACCCTACCAGATAGCCTCCGTGAGCTGCCTCCTTGGAACCAGAAAAGTCACACTGAAGCCACTGACCCCGAGACCTTCAAAGGCTGTCGGCCCAGGAAGGGAGCCCTTAAGGGCTGAGTCAGAGGCCAAGAGCTGACTGCTTCCCACCCCGGCCCAAGGCCCCCGCCCCCAGGACACAGAGGCCGTGGTCCTACCTGATCCAGCTCGAGCTCGTCTGGTGTCTGCCAACGCGGGCTGAGGGGTCCGCTAGCCAGGCGGTCGATGGGCACCACCACGATGTAGAACCACCTGGGATGGACAGGAAGCCCCACGCTGCTCAGACACGCTTAGACAAGACTTTTCAGGGAGGGCTGGGGATGCAGGATGGTGTATAGTTGGGGGCATCACCACCCGCTCAGTGGGAGGCACTCACCTGATGGCTGACTTGGTCTCTACTCTGGGGAGCGTGAGGGTAAAACGGCCATCCTCCATGTACTTGGCCACGGGCAGGGGCTTCTGCAGCAGGAGGTCAGGGGCCGTGCGGATGGACACCAGGTGTTGCAGGCCGCCAGCACTGCTCCCACGACTCATCAACACAAATGAGTACTCGGTGTTGGGCTGCAAGTCCCGGATCAGCTTCTTCATGGAGTGACCGTCCACCTCCACGCTCTGTCCATTATAAAGGATCTGCAGGGCAGGAAGCCGATGCTTCACAGCAGCACGGGGATCTACCTCAGCTCCTGACTCAGGGCCAGGGGTCTATCTCAGGCCTGGCCAGAACAGGGCCTGCTCACCCAGGAGGCCTCTGGTTCTGTCCACACTAAACCCCAGACCCACGACACCAAAGACCTGGCCTCATCTACCCTAAAGGCCTGGTTTTGTCCATTCTAAGGGCCCTGGTCCTCCCAGCACTACAGGCCTTAGGCCAGTGTACATGGCAGATTCTGCCTCAGGAAGGGTGTTTGCAGTGACCTGGTGTCACTTAAAGGAGAAGGGGGTGGTCCACCCTGGCACAGCTGGTGAGGCCGCGCCAAGCTCTCCACAGCCAGCAGGGGTAAGGAGATCAAAAGACCATTCTTTGAGCTTCTGCCTGACTGGCCCCACCTGAGCCCAACATATGGAGGTCAGCAGCTGTGGTGTCAGCCCAGCAAGTACGCTTGTCCTCTGCTGCTGGCCTGGAACCCAGAGATGTGGTACCAAGGCCCCGTCCCCCCTAGCATGCTCCCTGTCATCTCTCCAGGTTATCAGCCTTCAGGCTACACTGCCAAGTCAGACCCTGCGCTTAATCCTCTGGGTCCCCAGACCCGGGCCATGGTCAGCCACGTGCCGCTCTCGATGCCCTGGCCATCCCTGCCGTGTTCTCCACTCAGACTCCGCCCTCCAAGTCAAGCCAAGCTCTAGGAAGAAGTCTTGGTCTCGAGAATGCTTCTTGTGGGTTCACAGAATCTAAAGCTGGGAAAGGGCTCCTGGGGCACCAGCCCAGGCTGGGGAGGGGGAAGTGGGCCCACATGTATCCCACACGCCACATGCCAGAGAGAGGCCTCAGTGAAGGAAAGGGAAGAGCAGCTGAGACACCCGGCAGCACACCGGAGACAAAGCCAGACAAAAGGCTGGGAGCCAAAGTCCTGGCCTTCGAGGTCTGCACACAAACACCCAAACTTAGCTAACAATCCACAGAACTAAGGAGACAAATCGGTCCTCCTGGCTCCCACTGAACCTCATTGGGGAGGGAACCCATGACTGGGCCAGAGCTCTGGATGGTGTGGGCCCTCTCAAAAGAAACAAGACGGCGGAGTGGTGGTCTGCAGGGAGAAAAGACAGTCACGTGAGGAAACCCAGGAATAAGAGTGGGGAGCAAAGGAGGACTATGTGAGAGGGGGTCAAATTAGAGGGTGGGGGAGGCTTTGTTATTGAAGCAGACTACAGACCACCTGGGAAGGAGGAGGAAAGAGATGAGGAGGCCAGGAGGCAGCTCAGTAGAGTGACGGGGGACTTCAATTACCCAGAAGTCTGCTGGGGGCTCTCCCCCAAAAACAGGGCAGTGAAGAGCTTTCGTGATAACTCATCCTTCAAGAGGGGGTGAGACCACCCAGGAGAAATCCTCTGCTGAGCCTAGTTCTCTCTAACACAGAAGAACAGAGGAAGACTTGTTCGTGAAGAGAGAGCGGCTCTGGGCCTCAGCCGGCCCGCACCCAGGTGTGGGGAGAGACCACAGTGGGGTCACAGGAGGGAGGGGGAGACTCGAGGAGGAAAAGTCTGAGGGCTCCAGCCAGGAGTAAAAAGGGGGTCTGTCTGACTGACAAGACTCTCCAGCCTACTGAGCGCAGAAGATGGAGGCCAGGACAGGTGCCAGGACAACCCCAAGACCGGTGGGGAGCAGCCAGATTTGCCTCGGCCCCAGAGAGCAGAACCAGAAGCAGAACCTTCCAAGCCATGAGAGCTGGCCCAAAGTAGAACAGCCCTCTGAGGAGGTAGTGAGTTCCCTGTCCCTGGAGGTCTGTGAGCAGAGGCGGGGTGCCCACTGGTCAGGTGTGCTACAGAGTGCTTCCCTGGCTGGGCTCAGGTTGGACTAGATGAGCTCCCCACCAGGCCCACGCTTCTGTGACGGATCTCCCTTCTCCCACATGCGCCTGGTCTTTGGTAAGCCCTGCCAGCCCCACCTCAACATCTCCTGAATACGCCTCCTGCTCTCCTCTGACCCGGCCCCACCCTGGTGCAGAGGCCCTTGTCACCTCACGCCTCTGCCCTCTCTAGGCTGTCCTCCACTCAGCCACTAACATGAATGTCCTCAAACAAAGGTGTGCCCATTTCACCCCGAGCCTCTAGGAAGAAACCTTTCATCCAGGTATCCAGCCTTGGTCTAGCCCAGCTGGGCCCCTCCTGTTCTTTCCCACTACCATGGGCACTGCAGGCCATCCCCTGTGCCTGGGACAGGCTCTGGGCCCCTCTGGCGCCTCCTCCTCGAGGAAGCCCTCTTGGATGCCCTCAGCCCCAACTCCTGGCATACCTTAAATGGTACTGAAGACTTGTAGGAGTCTGGGACTTCCCAGCTAAGCAGCACTGATGTCTTCATCACAGCATTGACCCGGAAGTTCTTGGCAAACACTGGAATTTAAATCAACAAAGGTCACAGGAGTGTTTTCTGTCTGTGGGGATAGAGGGTCCTCGAGCGCTAGGCGTGGTGAGGGAAATTTTCAGGAATGGTCCCCTGGGGGTCCACGGCAGCAGGACGGTGTGCCCCATGTCAACAGGGAGCTGGAACTGGCCTCCCCTGGCCACTAAGCTGATGCTGCCAGCAGCCACCAGGAAAATGCAACTGAAGGCCACCACCAAAACTAAAGGGCCACTGCCACGAGAGGTCACTGGGCCACCACCACCAGAGGTCAGAAGGCCATTCCAGGAGGGCATTAAGACCCACCACCAGAAGTCACTGGGAAATTCCCTGAAGAAACCATTCATTTCATTCACCAAACATTTATTAAGTCTCTCCAGTGTGCTCCCAAGGAGGAAGGGCCCCTGCTTAAACAAAGGGTTCTGGGAAGGCCAGGGCATCAGGGAGACCTTCCCAGAGGAGAGAGATCAGAAAGGGGATTCAGAAGGTGAAGCAGGGCCAAGGAAAGGGCCCTAGCAGAGTCCTGGAGGCAGGAGAGCCAAGGGCACATCGTGAGGATGGAGAGAAGAGCCTGGCCGGCACGGAGAGTACAGAAGGTAACAGAAGACAAGGTCGCAAAGGTGGGTGACGCCAGACTGTGAAGGACCTCGAATGCCCAAGAAGGCCAGAATCCGCGGACTGCCACCAAGGCCTCCCACCTGCTGCCCGCCCTCCCTGTGGCGGCCGGTCCCGCTGGCACGGGCGTGGCTCACACACCTTGCTCCACTGGCATGGTCCGCGACTGGATGCTGGGGCTGAGAGGCCCCGGGCCGCGGCTGGTGTGGGCGCGGACCTTGACATCGTAGGTGGTGTCGGGCAGGAGGCCGGCGAGGGTGAGGTGGGTGCTGCCGGTGACGCTCTGCTGCTCCTGTTGGCTGTTGATGTCCCGATACACCACGGTGTAGTTGGTGATGCGCCCGTTCCGCTCAGCCAGCACAGGCGGGTCCCACCGCAGCTCCGTGGTTGATGTGGTCAGCCCGACCACCTGCAGGTTCTGTGGAAAGCCGCTGGGTGCGTCTTCTGGGGTGGTGACTTCCTTCTCAGACGCCTCGCCGGGGCCCGCCCGGTTCTTGGCCGACAGGCGGAAGATGTACGTGGCGCCCTTGTGCAGGCCAGTCACAGTGAAGTGGTGGTCCTCCTGGCCAAAGGCCACTGTGGTAGGCTTCTCCTCGTCTGCCCGCTGGTACTGCAGCCGGTAGCCCAGCAGCTCACCCGGCACGTCCTTGGGCGGGTGCCACTGGAGGAGGGCGGTGTTCATGGCTGTGGCGCTGACCATCATGGTAGGTCGGCCTGGGACTGAACAAGAGGGCCCCCCGTGGCCGCGTGAGCCGCCTCGCTTGTGGTCCTCTCTGGCCTGGGGAGGCCCCGGGGGCAGCTCTCCCGGGGATTTGGGTGGCCCCCCCCGACTTCTGCCCCCGGCCCGGCTCACCTGCCCCTGTGGTGGTGACAATCTTGGGCTTGCTGCGGGCTCCGTCTCCTTTGGTAGTATAGGCAGCAACGGTGATAGAGTAGGTGGTCTCTGGGGTCAGGCCTCCAATGGTGGTTTCCTGGGGAGTGGGAAAGAAGAGTTTGGCAGGGTACTGGGAAGGTTGTGGGGCTCAGGAGGCGGAGGCTTCTTCATGTCATGTGGGATCTGGGAGGCCCAGGGCTCACAGGATACTGTGCTCAGCAAACAGCTCAGCGCTCCATTCAGCCCGTGAAGAGAGTCAGGGGCTTTCTAGTGGTCCAGAGCCTCTCACTGAGGCCTGGAGGCCAGAGCAGGAGCTGGCCGTGGGGATCCAGAGGGCTGCCCCTCGCTGGGCCCTCAGGACCGGCTCATCTCAGCCCTTCATTCTACAGACGAAGAAACAGGCCCTGAGAAGGGGATGTGGCTGGCTCGGGGTCCCACGTGTAGCTGGGAGCAAGTTCACACCACGTTCAAGCCCAGCAGGGCAGCTGCACGGCCCGGGCAAGCCCCTTCTCCCTTGAGGAGCCTGTTTCCTCTTCTGTTGAGTTAAGGGGGGTGGGGTGGGGCTGGAAGAGATGGCCTAGGGCCCTGGGGACAGATCTACTCCCACAGTGGTCTAGCACCTCCATTGCTACCACCACCATAGAAACCCGAGGACCCCAGATCCAGGGGACAGCAGAAGGGGAGGAAGGGACAGGTGCCCAGATGGACCCTGCTTCCCTCAGAGCCCACCAGAGATAGAGAGAGAATCCAGAGATCGTGAGGAAGCCGGAGTGCTGGTGTCTACACCAGTGTCCCCGTAGGCATAGGCTCCCCACCTTGACTCAGACACATGCCACGCCACGCCACGCCACACCACGCCACGCCATGCCACCAACCCTGGGTGGGGGGGAGGGTCTCTTGAGGACCCATAGACTTGGGGCTGCCACCAAACCTTTCCCAGCCACGGGGGCTCAGGTACCTGCCTCCTGGGTCCTTAAGCCCCTAGCTCCAGGGGAATGAAGTCTGGGATTTGCTCCCACTCAGCTCGGTGGGGCTTAGGGACCTGGGAGGCGGCGATCACCAACCACCCAACAGGCAGACAAAGCGTCTGGGCAGAGGGTGCCCCGACAGCTCTGGGTCTCCTTGGCCTGTCCCCCTCCACACCAGATTTTCCCCTGTGAGGAGCAGCTACTCATGCCTTTACTTACATAGTCCTCTGACTCCTCCGGCCGCCACTGACCACAGGAGGGAGAGAGAGAAACGGAGACAGACATTTGTGAGGGAGAGCCAAGTCTGGCCAGAAGGAGGGGGCTCAGGGGTATGAGATAGCTCCCTGGGGAACTCAGTTATGGGCAGGTCAAGCAGAATCAGAGCAAGACCAGGGGGTGAGACAGGGCCCTGGCCTCCCAGGTCCCTGAGGGGCCAGCCTGCACAGCAGGCCCAGCTGACCAGGCCCACTCAAACCTGCCTGCCCTACACATGGCACGCACCAGACAAGCAGGTACCCACAGTGGGCCAGACAGAAGAGACGCTGTCTGAGGGGGCCTAAGACCCCCTGCCACAGATCAAAGGAGGATGCAAGTGGGTTCATGGAGACCCATTCTGACAGCTACAAAGTGGGTGGCAGGTATTCCAGGTGAGAGGAATGATGTAGGCAGAGGCGAGAAATGAGGGATATGACCATGGCAAGGGAATGCACACACTGTCCGGGCAGAGGGTACATGCAGGGGAGCAACCAGCTCAGGGGTGGGGAATCTGCCGCCTCGAGGCCACGCATGGCCCTCTCGATCCTCAAGTGCGGCCTTCTGACTGAATCCAAACTTCACAGAACAAATCCCTTTAATAAAAGAATTTGTTCTGTAAAACTTGGACTCGGTCAAAAGGCCACACCCGAGGACCTAGAAGGCCACATGTGGCCTCAAGGCTGCAGGTTCCTCACTCCTGAACTAGCCTGATGGGGCACATTGGGACTAGAGTGGGGAGGCCTTGAATGTCAACATGAAGAGTGTGGGCCTAAGTGCTGGTAGTCCACCCATCCTGGGAAGCATCTGTGGGCTGTGCCCTGCTCTGACCAAATGCCCCTGCAATTGGTCTGCACCCCAAAGAAATCCAAGAAAAAGGCAGAAGGCCCACATGTGCACTGAAAGGTGGGGGCTGAGGGGCTGCCCACACACCGTGGAACACGTGGGACGGGCCAAGAAGCGAGGAAGGCGATGGGCGGGGCCTGGGGCCATCACATGGATAGCTCCCTCTGGTCCACCTGCAGGCCTGTCCTGGGTTTTAGGAAGGGGTCCAAGAAGCAGGACAAGGAAAGGTTTCAAGATGGCGAGGAGAGTCCACAAAAGCTGTCTTGTCATGGGAAAGAGGGGCCAGACTTGTTCTCTTTGGCCACAGCAAGTGGAGCAGAGGCACTGAAAGGAAGACTTCTGTCTGACGGCCAACAGCTTCCTAGCCACAAGGGCTGTTCCAAAGTGGAACAGGCTGCTGGAAAGGTAGTGAGCTCCCTGTCTTTGGAGGTCAGTGAGCAAAGACTGAATGTCCACATAAGGGGTGGCATGGGGTACTGTGGCAAGGAGTCCTGCCAAGGGAGGATGTGGGCAGGATGACCATTAACATCCTTCAGCTCTCGGGATCACACGGTGCCTGGGGCGCAGGACATAGCTCTGACAGAAAGGGGGAACACGGATGCCCTGCCTTCTGGGGCCAGCCTCAGAGGCTTCCATCTGGCCGCACAGCAGCTCCATATGCTTCCCTTGGAACGGCCTCTGGCCTCCGCCGAGCCTGGCAGATGGGGCGGCCTGGCCGGGCTAGGAGTGGGTAGGAGAGAAGCCCAAGACGGGTGTCCTTGAGATGCCCTGCCCAGACAGCCGGCCCTCGCCCCAGCGATCACTCAGCCCACAGAGGCCCCGTCAGATGCTCTGGCTCAGCTTCTGCGGCCACATCAATGGGCTGCTAGACTGTGGGTGAGCAATGAGACATTGGCAAGGCCCGTGCCAAGTGGCTGCCGTCTATCCCTGGGATGCATAGAGTGAGAGGTGGGCACTCAGGGGCTCCCGGAGAGGAAGGAGCCCTAGCCCTGGCCACTGCCAGGAAGGAGGTTTCTGGGGCTATTCTGTCTCTTCTCTTGCCTCTTCTGCCACTACGAGACAGCCTAATGAGCTTCTCCCTCTGCCCCAAAGGGGCCAGTGCGGGGAGGGAGAGACAGGCGCCAGCAGGCATTCCAGGAATGGCCCTGAAACGTGGGTGGGTGGTGTGCTCAGCCAGGCCTGGCCTGGGAACAGGGACACTTAGTCCCCTTAGCACCCCATCACCCACCAGTGGAAGAAGAAAGAACAATGAGGATGTTTAGTTTGAGAAGAGCAGGCTAAGGGATGGCCAGGGAGAAGATGAGGATCACAGAACCCAGGGAACAGGGACGGGACACAAAAGATGGACCCCAGCACCCAGTTCAGCTCCCGGACCTGAAAGGTGGGGGCCTGCAGGTGTGGAGGCAGGTTGTTGTTATAAGGGAGTGGGGAGTGGGGAGTGGGGCAGGGGTGGGTGAGGTGGGCCTGGGAAAGGATAATGGCAAAAATGTTATCCACGACCTTCTAACCATGGAATAGGAAAGGGACTGACTTGGTTCTGCTCCACCCAGGAGCAAGGGGTTCAAGGTGTAGGGCCCCCCAAGGCTGGATCTCAGGACATGCTTCCCAAAGGGGTCTCAGCTGCCTAGGTGAACAGCGGCAGGGGGTGAGCTCCCTGTCAGTGGAGAGCTCCAAGCAGGAGCAGCTGCCTTAGAGGTCTTTGTGAGGGTCAGGGACTATGTTTCTGTGCAGGCTGGATCTCGCCTGAGGTGGTGTCTCTTTGGCATGCCCCTGAGTCTGGACAGGGGCTTGCCCGGGGGTGCTCAGCAAGCCCTCAGTTTGTCTCACTGTGATGAGATGACCCTCTCATCTGCCCCCACAAGCCTCCCTCCCTCTGTGCCAGGGCCCTGAGATCAAGGGGCTACTGCTGGTCCTGACCCTCTGCCCTCTGGGGCACCCCCCTCAGCTGTCTGGGAGGGGAGTCTCAGGAGGTCCCAGCTCTGCTCAGAGAGAGGAGGCCTGAGGCGCAATGCAGGGACCAAGGCCTCTCCATGCGTGGGGTCTGGGGCGTGAGTTCTGGAGGTGGCAACCCCAGAGAGGGGCTGGCCTCTCTCCTGTCCCACATCGCCTCTTGGATCTGGCCAAGTCCCAGGGTAGGGCCTGTGCCAGCTCCTGGCTCCACCCCCTCCCCCCAAATCTCCCTGGCCCCAAGAAGACTGCGCCCAGCCTCTGCCATGACCCTCTTCAGGCCTAAGGGCCTCCTGTCCCACCCCACTTGGTCCTCCATCCTCCTGTTCCTAGCCAGTCCCTGGCCGCTGGTCCTGATGGTCCCCTCTCCCTGTCTCCAGCCTTCCTGCACTCTGCTGGCTGGCTACCTGGGCTTCAGCGAGCATCACGTCCTTGATGACCGGCTGCCCACGGGGCTCATTGTTCTCGAGCCTCACGTAGGTGACCTGGTAGCCGCGGATCTGGCCATGCTGTTTGCTGGACACGGGCAGCTTCCAGGACACATGCACGGCCGTTGAGTTCACTGACTCCACCTCCACCTTCCTCGGGGGTGCGCTGGGCACTGCGGACAGAGGGGAACGAGGCACGTCGGGCTGGGGCAGCCTCACAGGATGTACCTCCCGGGTCAGCTCGGCCCCTGGAGGAGTCACGCCCCCGCCCCTCTAAGATTCTCCCCCTTAAGCCTCAGCCCACTGATGCTCTGAGGCCCTCACTGCCCACTCAGCTCCAGGGAGGACTGAGGCCTGGCCCCTGGGCGGCTGCAGAGCCCAGCCCACATCCTCTGTCACTGGGCAAATCTTTAAGTCTGGTCTCAAGGTCACCAGGTTCTCCCTAGACATGGAGCACTAGCCAGTGCTTCGCACAGCGCCTGCACTCAGTAGGTGCTTAACAAATGCTTGTTGATGGATTGACCACCACGCCCTGGCTGCCACAGGGCAGGGGATGAGGATGGCCAACACCGTTGGCTGACACAATGCAGAAACCTGGGCGGAAGGAGCAACTTTCTCCCTAAATGCCCCAAGAATGAGTACCTGGGCTCCACAGACGTCTCTGCCTCAGGGCTGGCACCAGAAAGGGCTGCTTGGAACAGCCTCCCTTGGGGGCCAGGCCCCTGGAGAGGGGAACAAGAGAGGATGAGCCCCCATGCCCCTCCAGCCAAGCCCCGGACTTTCTACCTCATCAGCATCTCTCTCCTCATGACCAGTCCAGGCCCTTGTCCACCACTCAGGATTGTTTTAAGAGCCTCCAAATTGGGTGTTCTGGGTCCCCGCCCCCGTCTGCCCTCCACACAACTGCCAAATACAAAGGTCTGACCACATCCCTCCCTGGCTCCCCAGCTTCTAGAAGGAGATACAAACTTCTTGGCTTGCCATACCTACATTTGTCTCTATTTTCCCTCCCATATGCTTAGCCTTGGCCAGCATGGAGTACTTGTGATTCCCTGCCACAGAACCTTTGCTCACAGACCTCCTAGGCTAGCCTCGGCTTTTCTTCCTGACACCGAGCCCAGGGTGCCTCTCAATAGCCTTCCCCACTGTTCCTAGCTCTGCCCTGGGGGCCCAGCAGAACGGGGCCTGGGAACCCCTCAGATGCTTGAAGCCAGCCCTTGTGTCCCCTCCCCCCAATGCTGGGGCCTTCTCTCCTCGTGTCACCCCCCACCCCGGCCTTCTTTCCAGCCCTCATTCTCCCCTAGGGCCTCCTCTCTGGCTCTTCCCCCATGCCAGCTTCCCTGCTCTGAAAGCTCTCCTGCTCTCCTCAATGTCCTTGCTGACCAGCAGGGCTGAGGCCAGGGCTCAGGGTTCAGAGGTGGCTGGTACCTATCAGACCCTGACCTCCTGGATGCCAGGGGCCCCAGGCAGTGTGCACTGATATCATTCATCTCCTTATTTCTTGAGGCTATACCCCTTAATGGAGCTCACAATTCCACAAGCTTCCTGGGCATCCCATCACACTGATGACTGATACTGAGCTTGCAGCCCACTAAAACCCCCAGATCTTCTTTAGACACAATATTGTCTAGCCAAGGCAGCGGAGTGGTGCTCAGGATGGTAGAGCACTGGAACCTGGTGTCAAGAAGACCCGAATTTACGGGCAGCTAGATAGCGCAGTGGATAGACCACTGGCGCTGAAGTCAGGAGGATCTGTGTTCAAATCTGGCCTCTGACACGTAACACTCACTAGCTGTGTGACCCTGGGCAAGTCACTTAACCCCACTGCCTAGCGCCTGCCCCACCCCCCCAAAATATATACTAGCTGTGTGACCCTGGGCAAGTCACTTAACCCCAATGCCTAACCAACCCCCCCCCCAAAAAAGAAGACCCAAATTTAAATCCTGCCTCAGACACTTGTTTTGTGATTTCACAAAGTGAAATGGGCAAGTGATTTCACCTCTGTCTACCTCAGTTTCCTCATCTGTAAAATGGGGATAACAACACCTGCTTCCTAGGTTTTTGTGAGGATCAAGTGAGATGGTATCTATAAAGCACCTAGCACCGTGCCTGGTACACAGTAGGCACCTTCCTTCCCCAGCCTCGGTTTGGAAAGTCGCTTTTCTGTACCCAAGTACAAGACTTTTCATTCATCCCTTTTCAACCCGAGGCTTCCGCCTGCCAAGATCCTTCTGGCTTCTGGCTCTGTCAGCAGCTGCGAGCACGCCTGCCTCCTCTCAATCCGAGTCACTGACAGAAGCATTTGTGGATGGCAAAGCACCTCCAGGAGCCCTCCTGTCCTCAAGACAAGGAGGCAGAGCCAAGCCAGGGTGTCCCGGGGGCTCCCCAGCCTGGCAGGTAGGAGAATGTGGGACTCTTCACCCCAGTTAGGAGGCACCTCTTTTACCTGGGATCTGAGAGAAGCCTGGAAGGGCTCTCAGCAGCCACCCAGGCCAATCTCCCATTTTACAGAGAAGGAAACTGAGGCTCGGGTGGGGGGTGACTTGGGACCACAGCTTGAGAACTGGAAGGAACATCAAGTCCAGGAGTCCAACCACCCCATTTTACACCTGAGGAAATTAAGTGACTGACCCAAGGTCACTTAGGAAGCATCAGAGTTGGGATGTGAAGCCAGGTCCTTGGACCCCACAGTCAGGGCCCACGCTTCCTGCCTTCAGACCACCTTAAACAGTCTAGAGCCATATTGCCCGGAGGGGGCAGGGCTGCCGCCCACAAGTGCACTATCACAGCTGCCAGGGTGAGACCTAGTTTTTTTCACAAAGACGCAGGAAAAGCAGTATCTCCAGGTGGATGGGACAATCAGGGAGACGGGAGGGACTGGGAAGGAGAGGCAGGTCCAGCTGTGGATTCACTAGACTGGAGAGGAAGCATCAAGCTGGGAAGGAGCGGGGGGAGCAGAAGAGGAGGGGTGCGTTCTTACACGTCCCACAGGAAGCTGGAAATGCAGCTTTGAGAGGCAAGGGAGGGACTGAGTAGGACAAGTCTGAGAGGCAGGAGGAGAGCAGGAAGGATGGAGGAGTGAAGAGGGTGACTGCTCCCAGGGGGGAAGCTCCCGTGGGCACCAGAGGGAAGGGTTGCTGGAAGGATGGGGCAGGGGGAAGGAGAAAGAGAGATAGAGAGGGACAGAGAGGGAGGGGTGACAGAGAGAGAAGGAGGAGGGAAAGGGAGAGAAAAATCAGCTGTACCCTTCCCCCCCAAACCCGTCCCCCCCTGCTCAAAAGTAGCACCTACCGTCCTCATCGGTGCGCACCAGCACCGGGGGGCTCTCGGGGCCTGGCCCTACATCCGTGTGGGCCCGCACCCACACCCTGTATTCTGTCCACTTCTCCAGGTCCTGGATCTCCCAGCTGGAGCTGTCTGGTCCAATGCCATCCACCACGTGCCGGGCAGTGTCCTCGCCATCCACCGCCTGGTAGGCGATGGAGTACTGGGTGATGACGCCATTGCGGCTGGCAGCCGGAGGTGGGACCCAACTTACCCAGACCGTGGTGGAGCTGGTACTGACACACCGAACGTCCTGGGGAGGGGCAGAGGGGGCTGGCGGGACAGAAATGGAGGAAGCGGCGAGATGGAGGGAGGTGAAGCATGAAGGGGGCAGCAGGCAGGGCTGGGTGCGATGAGGCGAGTCTCAGACCCAGCCAGGCGACTGCTTCTGGGGAGCAATGGGGAGCCCAGGTCAAACCACCCCCGGGCCGCCTCTTCCCCTGGCCCTGCACTCTGACTCAGCTGGCCCCTCCACATTTAGACATGCACAGACACAGACACAGCCAGTCAGAGGCCCTGGGTCTGAAGCCCAGCTCTGCCACATACTGACTTTGTGACCCTGGACAAGTCACTTCCCTTTTCTGGGTCTCAGTTTCCTCCCCTGTAATGTCAGGAGTCATCTGCGTGGCTTCCAAGTGTGTGTCAAATTCTAAACCTACATCCTGTCTTTGGATGTCATGGGCTGCCTCAAGCTTCACACACACAACACACATGCATTCACATGGACTGCAACATATGTTCCTCTTTGCACGCATACACTTATACCCTCACACATACAGACCCTTGCTCATGCTAACACGCACATATGCTCACACATACACACTCACACCTATATCCTCTCAGGGGACATCTTTCTTAACTCCCTTCCCTGGCTACTCCAGACACCACCACACGAGGGTCACTGCCTCCACCCTCGCCTCAGTAGCACGTGGACATCAGACATTGTACCCAGTCAGTTGTGTTACTTCTGACCCTCAGAATGGTGTGAATATACCTGGAACAGCCTGGCTGGGAGCCTCCCCAGTGGAAGAGATGGAGACATGGTTGAGATGGGGGGTGGAGGGAAGGAGGAGAAGGAGGTTGGATCCCACATGCAGACTTACCTGAGCAAGGGTCAGGTTGGGGTTAGGGCAGATAAACACAGTGACTTGTGGAGGGCAGAGATGGGGATAGGGGAGGAGAGATGGGCAGGAAAGGGGCATGGAGCCAGACTGGGGTGTCCAGGCTCTGGACTCTAGCTTTGAAGCCAAAGCATTCATTTTGTGTCCTTCCCCAGCAGTGGGTGCAAAGGTGCTTCTGTGAGAATTAATCCTGCCAAGACAGATTAGGCCCAATTTGCAGGGCACAGGCCTAGTCCAGGACAGTGGTAGGGAGCCGGAAAGGGCCTTGCCCTTGCCATGTGGGTGGAGATTGGGCAGTTGGACCTTTCTGTAGGCTCATCAGGCAGTCAAGGCTTGGCCTCTTCTTGCTGATGGCTTTACTGAAGTCAGACTGGTTTCTGGGAGTCAACTCTCTAAGCACTGGGCAAGCCAAACCACCCATCTTTCCCTTTATGAAAGGGTTACTGGGCCAGTGCACTAGAGGCAGCATTTGACAAAGTCTCTTTTTTCTTGTGGAAGAGGCAGAGAGAAGGGAGTCAAGTCAGACAAGCCAGATTCTGAATGGACTGAAGGACTGGCCTTAAAGAGCAGTCCCTGGTGGTCCAACGTCCTGACGCAAGGTCGTCCGGTGAGGTGCCCCAGAGGTCTGTGGTGTCTGGCACGGTTACCCCTGCCTTAGTCCAAACAAAGGCAGATGGGGCATGCGTGTCACCCTTGCAGATGGTACCAAACTGGGAGGAAGAGCTGACAGCCAGAACCACAGATTCAGGATCCAAAAGAACCTTGACAGGCTAGAATAGGGCCAAATCTAAAAAGATGCGGCTTCTTAGGGACAAATGTGAAGTCCGATGCAGTCAACTGTGTAGTGGGGACGCAAATCTACATCTGTAACAGGGCTGCTGATGCTGGTGATCCATCATCCAGGGACTAGAAGCAAGAAGGACTCAGCATACCCAGCGCCTTAAGAGGGGCTTTCCTAACGAGCAGGTGGGGGCTTTGTGATCCTCAAGAGGAAGAGGCAGGAGGTCAGCCTCAGAAGCCAGTCCCATCACCCGGCCAGGGGCAGAAACACTTCAGGGACCGGGACCAAGAGCGGCAAAGTAGTGCTGAGACAAGGCAGCATCAGAGCATCTCTGGAATGAGGATGCCTTGTGGCAAGAAAGGCCCAGAGTGCCTGCCAGAAACGGAGGATGGGGCAGTGATGGACAGACTAGGTAGAGAATATCTGCATGGTGGCAGAGAAGAGGATGGCAGGAGAATGGGACACAGAACCTGATGGGGAGAAAAAAACCTCAAATCCTGGCCTGTGCTGGGGGCCACATTCCAGGGAAGTCAGGGGGTGGCCTCATGTTCGGGTCCCTAAGGCAGTAGGACTGAGAAGTGGGTCCCCTTGACCCTCTAGCAAATTAAACCCTTCTTACTTGTTGGGAGGCCCAGTATTGCATTGGTCCCTGAGAGAAGGCAGAAGGTCCCTGAAAGAGTCTCTTGATGTGCTATGGGCTCAGATTTGTGCCCTTTATTGTATAAATAAAACTTGTGTGTTTTGAAGCCTTGTGAGTCTAAACACTTATAAGGGGGAGCTGATGGCCACTCCTGGGGTTATCAAACACTTAAGCTCCTAAATGACATGTTAGAGGACCTGAAAACGTTTCCAGGCCATCTATGTCTGGAGAGAGCTTTGCAAAGAAGGGTGATGGCCATAAAAAAGACTTGTGGGTTGTAGTGGACCACAGGCCCACTGAACAAGCAGTATGAACGGAATGAGAGCCAACAAAGCAAACATGCTTTTGCATGCTTTTGGGCTGCACAAAGAGAGATGCAGGGCTTCTAGAAACAAGGAGGTGACCAGCCCATTGTCCTCCACCTTGGTCAGATCACCTTAGAAAGACTGGGTCCAGTTCTGGTGGGGGTGGGGGTATTGGTGTACATTTTAGGGGAAGTCATTAACAAGTGAGAGAACATTCAGAGAAGACGAGCAGGATGTGGGGAGAAATGGACATGAGGTCCCATGAGGAGTCACTGATGCAAGCAGGATGTGCAGCCCAGAGAACATTTGGGGGGACACAGAGGCTGGCTTCCAACACATGGAGGAAGAAGTCTGATTAGCCTTGTTCTGCTTGGCCCCAGGAGAGACCATGGGAAACTCACTGGCAATACAACTGTCACCAAGGGGAAAGGCTTTGGTGAATGCGGTGGGCCTTCCTGCCCCTACACATCTTCGGGGCTCCTCACAGATGGTGTCCAATGGGCACACCCCAGAAGAGGAGGAGCCATTAAAAGGATGGGGGATGGACATGAGAGCTGCCCCTGAGGGTCTGAAGGGCAGTCACAAAGATCAGACCTGTTCTGCTCAGCCCTGCGGGCACGGCCCTGGTGGGGTGGAGGGTAGGAGGTGGGCAGCAAGACCCAAAGGGGCCAGGGGAGGTTGGATGATATCCCTTAACCCTATCTATATCCCACAGAGGAATGGCAGGAAGAAGAGATAGGGAGGAGGGCTGGGGGAGGGGAGGAGAGGGGAAGAAGGGATGGGGGAGGGCAAGAGAGTGGGAGGAGGGCTGGGGGAGGGGAAGAGAGAAGGAGGAGGGCTGGGGAGAAGGGCTGGGGGGACGGGAGGAGAGGGGGAGAAGGGCTGGGGGCCTTCGAGCTCCATCTCAGACTTGAGGCCACTTACCAGGTTCTCTCCTTATCTCTGAAGGAGCCCTAAGCCCAGGTCTCAGCAGCCTCGAAGAAGATACAAGTTGAGGGAGGGAGTATGTGCCCCAGGCCTTGGGAAAGCCCTAGCAGGGCCAGGAGGCCCAGGACAGGAGGTGACCAGCTCAGGACACTTACTGGACTGCTGTGTGCGTGTCTCGATGGGGGGTGTGAACACCCCAACCCCCAGGTCTGAACGGGCAGCCAGCTGGAAGCGGTATAGGGTGTCTGGCTTCAGGTCCTCCAGGACATAGGATGAAGTGGGGTCAAAGGTCACTTTTTGCTAGAAGAACAGAAGGAACCAGTTACTCAACAAAGCGATTGTCCCTCTTTGGATCTGATTCTCCTGTTCCCCATCTCCCCCTTCAGACTAGGACACCCCTGAGGGCACGCCTGACCTCCTCAGGCCAGAGACGGTCTTCTGGCAGGACCTTTCTAGTGCTATCATCTCGATGGATTACAGGTCTGAGAGTCAGAGAGGACCTGAGAGGCATTTAACCGAGGTCCCATATCCCTGACAAGTGGTCATCCAAGCCCTGCCTGAGCACTCCAGGGAAGGAGGGGCCCACACCCATCCTGCAACCAGGCCAGGACTGCTCTGGCTCCTGGACTTCCTCATCTAAGGATATCTCCCTTAATCCACGATGCTGACTCCTCCACACCCTACCCCCCACTCTTTGCTTTATCCTGTGTCTTTAGAACCAGGGGTGCCACAAGCCCTCCCCCAAGGCTCCAGGACGCCGCTTGGTATGGAGACTTCTCGGCTCTCCTGATCATGACTTTTGCCAATCTGAGCCCACTCCTTTCTTGGATTTGGCATTCAATAAACTTCTGGGGGTCTCAGTAGTGATCCCGCCTCCTTGATGAGAGTCCATTTGGTGGGTGCACTGAACAAACAAGGCGGGCTGAGTATCTCCCCTGCCCCAACCCTTGGCCCTGCTCACCTGGGGTCCATCTTCTGCTTCCCAGTACAGCAGCTCATATTTGGTGATTCGCTCCTGAGGGGGCAGCAGCCATGACAGCAGGACCCTGGTGTCTGACTCAGCCTCAGCCTGGAAGTCTGCGGGCTGGGCCGGCACTGAAATGGGCCCCAGGAGACAGTCAGCTCCCTCCTGAAGTAGCACCTGGCCACTCCCTGCCAACCCCATCACCCTAGCAGAGCTGGCAGAAACTCTGAGTGAGGCTTCCAGTCCCACCCAGGCCTGAAACTAGGCCAGGACCCAACAACTGCACCCTTGACAAGAGATCACTGCTACCTGAAAGAAGTCCAGAGAGGGGAGCTCCCTGCCCCTCTGGGACAGGCCTACCCAGTGAGATACTTCTCTAGACATCCAGCCTCAATCTGCTTCTGCAACACCTTCCCTCCCCTGCTCCTCACTGTTCTGCCCTCTGGGGTCAAGTAGAACAGAGCTCAGCCCCCTCCCTATGACCAGCTCTCCTGTCCCCCGCCCCATCTTCTCTTCTCTACACTGGGCAACTCAGGTTCTTTAACCAATATCACATGGCATAGACTCAGAGGCCCGCTACGATGTCCTCTGGAGGCAGACTGACCAGGCATAGCACGTGGGATGAACCATCACCTCCCTAGTCTGAGACTTAAGACTAGGAATGCGTGAGCTTCCTTGGCCACTATGTTACACTATCCTGCAGACTCAGACTGAGCTTGCAGTCCACTAACCCCCCCAGATCTTCTTCAGATGAGCTGCTGTCTAGCCACACCTGCCACACCTCATACCTGGCAGCTGACTTTTGGGATCCAAGTATGAGACTTCACATTTGATTTTATCTTGTGAGCTTTAGCCCATTAAAGACTGCACTGCCTGAGCCAGGGCTGTAATTTACACGTGCCCAGACCAGGAGAAGCCACCTCCTGCCGGGGCTGAAGACTGAGCGAGCCCACTGGACTGGAGGGAGAGGGGAAAATGCTCCACCCTACAGAAAGCCTGCTGGTCCACATCACACACCTCCCTGCTGCGTCTTGACCTGGATGGGGGCAGAGGGTGGCCCGTCGCCAACAGCAGTGAACGCCAGCACGCGGATGCTGTAGGTGATGCCGGTTACCAGGCTGCCCACGGTGGTGAGGTGGCTGTCGTCCGTGTTGTGCTTGTGCCAGGAGCTGAGGGGCAGCAGGGCATCTGGAGTGTAGTAGACACGGTAGCCGCGCACCAGACCGTTGGGCTCATCTGGGGGCTCCCACTGCACAAGCATGGTGCTTGCGCTCAGCATGCGGGCTTGCACGCGCAGTGGCGGGCTAGAAGGTGCCTGTTCCCCTGTGCGGGCTGTCACCAGCTCACTGGGTGGCCCACGCCCTATATTGTTCACAGCTAGCACACGGAACTCGTACTCTGAAAAAGGGCTGAGGCCGCCGATGCTGTAGCGTGTGGTGGCCACACCATCCACCTCCTGGAATGTGCTGTCCCCGGCTGTTGGCCGGTACTGGATGCCATAGTAGGACACGGGCTCTGCATTCCCTGAGTCCCAGGTCAGGGTCACGCTTGTAGCTGTGGTCTCTGTCACCACCAGTTCGATGGGAGGCCTGGGCAGCGCTGAGGACAGAGGAGTGTATCAGCACCACCCAACATGGCCAACCTTACCCCAAGAGCCTACTCTGAGCCCTAGGCAGCCTACCAGGGGAGAGGCAGCACGGGACCTGGAGCCTGGGAAGGGTCGGCTTCAAGTCCTGCTCTAGCATCTTCCATCTGTAGGACCCTGCTTATTTTCCCTCTCTCAGCTTTAGGTTCTTTATCCAATGAATAAATGAGACAAAATATTTGGACTGTCCACATCACTGCTATTTGCTGAGGTCTATGCTATGCACCAGGCTGGTGACAAATGCTGGCCGACGTTTCTTTAGCATGTTATGGCTTACGACAATAACAGTAAGCATTTATAGAGTGTCTACTATGTGCCAGGCATTGTGCTAAGTGCTCTACAAATATGATTTTATTTGATCCTCACAAGAACCCTGGGAAGTAAGTGCTATTATTATCCCAATTTTATAGATGAGGAAACTGAGGCAGACAGAGGTTCAGTGACTTGTCCAGGGTTCCACTGCTAGTTGAAGTCAGGTCTTTCTTACTCCAGGCCCAGGGCTCTCTCCACTGCATCACCTAGCTGCACCTGGTGAGTACAGGTGAGGACTAAGGGATGTCACCAAAGGGGAGCCTGGGTAACTGGGAGGAGGGTGGTGTCCTTGATAGTTTGGACGTACTGTGTTTGAGACACCCATGACATTCCAATCTGAGATGTCCAACAGGTAGCTGGTCACAAGGGACTGGACTCAGCAGAGAGGTGAAAACAGACAGCGTCATCTGGGAATCATGTGCATGGAGATGTGAACTGATCCCTGGGGGTAAGGAGCTGCTAAGAGAGTGTGGAGGGAGAAAAGAGCCCAGGACACAGCCTTGGGGGCCAGCCACAGTTAAAGGGTGTGAGCTGCAGGAAGAGAGTTAAGGAGACTGAAGAGGGGTTAGACAAGGAGAGGAGAAGTGGAGGAGAGCAGTGTCAGAGACCCAGGAAGATGAAGATGGAGAAATGACCTAGGAGAGAAGTGGGACTGGGGTTGATGGCGCTCTCACTCTGGGAAGCTGCCTGATGCCCCCACACACCCCGTCTCTGCTGCCTCTCCCCGATCTCTTCCCCCACATCTGGCCTGGGGCTAGTTTAGGGGTCCTAGGGATGAAAAGTCGGGCAAAACCCTCAGTTAGGCTCTGCACTAGTCCATCTGGGGCTTCTGGTGGTGACTTTTGGGACCCAAGCCTAACACTTTACGTTCACCCCATTCCATTCCAGTTTACATTTGCCCTAACCTAACCCACCAGAGTCATCCATTGTCTTAGGTCTTCCTCCCACCTTCATTCTGCATTCTCACATCTGATGAAAGGTTATCCTGCTACATGCAGGGCATTAATCCAGATCACTGAGCAAAATGTTAAATAGAATAGAGCCTTGGGGCTCTCCCCCATAAACATTCGATGCTAATATCAATTAACTAATAATGTCTCCTAGATATTCTCTTTTTCTCTCTACA